CTCTGAAGTTCCGTTCGTGTCCACGGTTTCAACCATTCCATAAAGGTGAAGAGATTATCATTTTTCGACATATCTCAAATATTCAGCATATGCCTTGAAAAGGCTTTCACATACTCCCTGATAAAGCTTGTATGTTTCAGGTCTCGTAGTGCCCATCGAGCCTGATACTTAACATTTTTCGGGAAAAATTGCGATCTGATCACTTTCTTGAGGAGATCCCAAGAATCTATTCGGACACTGTTGGCCTGAATATCAGCATATTTGGTTCACCACCATAGTTTTGCATCTCCACCCAGATACATGGCAGCTGTGGTTACCTTTCTTGCTTTGTCTTCAATCGAAGCTGCGAGAAAGTACTTTCCATGTCAAACTCTTAGTTTTTTACTTCTTTTGCATCACATGCCCCTCCGTAGGTACACAGTTCAAGAATTCTAATTCTATGAGCATACTCAAGTACGGGAGCTTATCGATTGCCCACTGCATGTTGGAGTACTTGTAATTGAGCTCTTAACGCTTCCATTTCATTCTGCAAATTAAGAATGATTGCAACAGCTAAGTCATTGCTGCACATGCCCTTTGGCTTTCATCCAGTTGGATGTGTAATCCACGAATCTCGGATTTTGTCATCTCCACTTTTTCGTCGAGACTGTCCATAGCATAGCACAACCTAGTAGTTGTCTCATCAAGCGCATTCACACGTTGTTTAGTAGTACTCTTCTTTTGAGGCTCTCCCACCTCAGTGATCTAGGATGTAATTGGATCCATAGCTTTCTTATCGAGGGTCGTGAGCTGCAACTCTGATACCAATTTTCATAGGGTGCCTTTCTTCTTGGCACAGAAAGAGTCACCTGCGATAGTAGTCTGCTCCACTAGACTACCTTTCGCTTTTTCTCGATCGCGTCGAGATGAAAGAAAATTTGATTACAATTTTGTAGAAAACTTACCAGAGAATTTGAATACATTGAAACTAAATTGAATTTTGATTGATGAAAGATAAACATTACAATTGACGAAAGTCAAAAATTACAATTGCTGATGTAGGGGATAGACACCAATGAGCTTGAAAGATTTTTGAATGACAAATACCCTCGGCCCCTATAATAGTATTTGGAGCAAAAATCTAAGTGACAGGAGTAGACGTTTAAATAACGAGGAATCATACAACATTTACAAATATCAGAGCTATTTTACAACTGAAACAACTATTAAAATGAAAAAGAAATTACAACTCAAACTTGAACTAATATTTACAATGTGCGGTCAAAATTGGGCAAACTGCGATTTCAATTGTGTCAATGGGCTAAGTAAAGCTGCTGTCTTTGACACCTATGCATGCCAACTTAATGTCAGTATTAGGATCATAATATTTTCTGTTCCAGTCCCTAACTCTTAGGCATTGTAGAGAATCGTAAATATTAAAATTCGACCATCAAAACCAAGTGAGTTCAATTGATGAATCGAGTAAGTTCTACGTACTGTCACGGGAAAAAAACACTTTTATTGTATTTTAGAATTCATTAATGAAAATTATAATAGTAGCTTAAATACATTAGTGAATTCTTGGCATGGGAATGATAACGGCAACAATGAAAGTCGGTCATCCAATATATCTTTTCTCAAGTAGTAATAAGTATCATTAAGCATCATTAAACCGTTAATAACACTTCCTATCCACTCAATTAATTAATTACAATTTATATATTACAAAAAGAAAGTGTAAATGAATATTTCAAATTTAATAACTAATATTAATATTAGTGTTGTTAAACGAAGATAATATCGGATTAATCCAATACAAAATTATTAGAGAAAATAAAAAATTATAGCCACAAAGTAATTGATCACTAGAATACTAGCATAAAATAATTTGTAGAGAATGGAGATTTTATTTTAATATGAAGAAAAATTACAAAGATTTTGTATTTACAATGCTTATAACTTCTTGTAAATCATAATGAAGAGTCAATTATATCTAGGGAACAAAAAGGGAATGTCAAAAGCCTCATAGTAGAGTTGTAGCTGAAGTAGAATACAAGAAACGAAGTTGATGAGGAAAAATCACACAAGGTGAAAAAGCAACCCAGGTGATGCCTCAATGTGGCGCAGGGCTAAAATCCTGTCGAGTCTTTTACTTCAAAACTTGATTTGCTTCATCTCAATGTCCTCTTCAAATTCAACACAAATTCAAACTCCCAATTGGGATTCAAATAGAATTTCAACTAGAATTCCCCAAATAGATTTCGATTAGGATTTGAAATAAAATTCCTCTTAACGTGCACTTTAATTAGAATTTTTAATTATTTTCAACAAAGAATTTAGGTCACACAAAATACTAACAAACTTTACCTTTTCACAAATTCACTACAATGAGAAATCATCCCTTTTCTACCAATTTTTTTGGCCTGATTTTTGCTAGATTTCGATACCCACGCTCTGATACCAGATGTAGAGTGTATATTGATCACCAGGGTTAGCCTAGGCTCGGTTTTTTCCAACCAAAACAACACAACCCGATAACGAACAACCCAAGACAATAACCAAGCTTCCAGTTTTTGTTGCCAATGAGATAGTTCACTTAGAAGATCAAAAAAGTATACAATATCTCATTTATAATCACCACAGGACATAGAAACCGAAAGGCAGAAGAAGGGTAGAAAAAAAGGCAATGGACGAGAGTCACAAAGAGAGAGGCGGGGACGGTCTTCTTGCAAAAGGAGAGAAAGACCAAATATATTAAGTCAAGTGGCCCAAATAAGGTAAGTAGCATTAGGTTAATAACTGGGTCAAGTAGAGGTCCAATAAGTAGCAAATGGGCTGCCAAGTAAAGTCTCTCATTTTTGGCCATCCAAAAAAGCAGGTTGGCGATGAGCAACACTAAAATATTTAGGTTGTTTCAAATGACCCAATTAACCTTTGAGTCGTGTCGTCTCGATTGTAGTGTTACAATTTCCATTCAGTCATTTGGCTAAACCGACTGAAGACTAAAACCAAATAACCTCATAGCTCGAAGAGATCGTTTAACAACAAATTACTTAACAACAAATTTTCATTTCCGAGATAATCAAATGTCTTGTTTGAAGCATCTTTTTAACGCTATTCATAAGTACAATTGGTTCGGATACCTCAGTTAGTTAATATTTCTTTCCAACTCTGGAATCTACTCCTTGGCAGTAGGCAACCTAATAATACCATCACGTTTTAAAAAGCTCTAAAGCCAGGGTGCTCAAATAAGTTTCATAGTACAAGTGTTTTGGCATGTAAGATGTGTTGGACATTTGGCAGTTGTATCTATTGTTTAAACCTCGTTTAGTACACATTTTTGTAAAAATGAGAATAAAAAATATAGTCGTTACGGGATCCACACAAAAGATGGAAAGTCAAATATCGTGACTTGATGTGATGGATAACGATCATATTTTTTTATTTTTGCAGTCAAAGAATGGAAATCAAACGGGGACTTAATTTACCAAATAAGCTAGTAGGGTTTCGACCAATACAAGTGGTGGATTCCACAAGGCATAACAAAGATTTTAAGATAAAAGTGACTTATTCCTTCAAAACCCACATAGACTCAATTTGTAACTGTCAGAGTCGTGTAATAGAAATCAATTCACTCTCGAGATTGTTCAAAGTGATTACAAACCTATATGCGGGATAAAATTACATTTTTACCGTCTCTCAAAGAAAGGCAAGATAATCTTGTAACCAGTCCTAGTATTAGTCAAATGATAGCGTCGACATCCAGCAACGTAGAAGTCGTCGGGGGAGTTTAGCGTGGTGATTGGTGACCAGTGAAATGTTATTAATTCTAAGTCTATAATTGAGTCGGTCATGGCTGTAGGATATGCTGTGTGCGCCTTTTTTTCCTCCCTTGGGAACCGGCAGGTGTCAATAAAAAGAGAAAGAAAAAGAAAACGGAATCAGATTTTCAACAATTCATTCGAGTTAGTTCATATAATTTTGTATTCTACCCATTACAAGGCAAAATTAATTATTAAAATGTTCACACAATCATAATTATGCTACATCACGGGCCTTAATCCTACACAATCCTGGTTGATATTGAGCAAATAAGATTAAAAAAAAAAAAATTTCATGATTAATGAAACAATTTGACCTACCTAACATGCATGGTATTATAATCATTTTCACTGTTAAATTCAAAAAATCTCCTTTTGCAACCCCAACCAAATTTGAGTAATTTTATTCAGCATCACTAATGTTAACCATCAATCTAAATAAATTCATCTAAATATAATATTACGTTATTCATTTAATTAAATCTATCAGGTGTAGTTACCTACAGTGATGCTCTATCACCAATAATGCTAAATATCGTTACTCATAAACATTGCATAATTTTATCAATGGGAACAAAGTGTTAGGGAGGTGGCTTACCCACCGCCTACAAATATTATTACTCCACCTCTTTACTCCAAATACAATATAATTTAATTCTAGATTTATTATTATACGAAGTTGTAGAGTAAATTCCCAACGGAAAAGGGATAAATTATATTACTTTATTACCTGTTTGGGGGGTGGGTATTAATTTTATATTTAAGTTTTTGTTAATAATAGTAAATTAAGAATTGGATGTGGGTCCTTCACGTGTCTAACATGTTTGAATGTCTAACGTACTGCTTTTATTCAAAGTCAATATTTTAGCCCAACTTTATTGAAGTATATATGATACACGTCATAGAATAGCTTGGACCACTTTTTGGTAATTTAGTCGTATATCACGTTAGCCTAGTATCATTTCACACGTACCATATCTTTTGTTAAGCATCCCACCACGCACAACCACCTAAGGAATAGGCTCCTATTTGATTGGTAAGCGTCAAAAATTTAAGAATAAGTTTGGTGTACAGAATTTTTACTCACTTATTTGATATAATATCACATAACACTCTATCGTTGAACCGTTTAAAGAAAAAAATTACTTCCAATTGTCTGTTGCCAACAATGCATCTGAATAATAAGTGGACAGAAAATTATGTACAAATAGACTTTTCTAGTTTCCGGTGACTATCAACATTTTACAAAGAATCCTACACTGCAACTCATGTTAGCCCAGACGCTTTACTCTAACAAATCAACACCCACAAAAATTATATAAAAATAAATTAGAACAAAATACAAGAGAGAATTAGTTTCTCTTTTCTTTTAATCTGAAACAATGGATATTGGACCACTAGAGATGCTGCCGTGGCTATCATCACATAGAGCCAATGCTCGCTCCAAATTAGCCACAATGTCAGTCATGGTAGGCCGATATTTACCTTCTAAACGCACACAATGCATAGCGGTATAAGCCACCAGTTCCACCGCCTCGGATTCATTTATCTCCGGTGGACCAACCTGAGTGTCCAAAATTTTGGCCAATTCTCCGGCCATTATTGCTGGTACCGCATAGTCCACCACACTTATTGGTGCAGAACCCCCATTTTCGCCCGTCTTGAATAATGCTCGCTTCCCTGTCAAAAGTTCAAGTAACACTACTCCAAAACCATAAACATCACTTTTTGCTGTCAATACATTTAATCCATAATATTCTGGATCGATGTAACCAACTGTTCCAGCTGCCTTTAGTGGTCTATAATCACAATCATTTTCTGACCCTCCCATTAACGATAATCCAAAATCAGAAACTCTTGCTGTCCAGTTTGCGTCAAGCAATATGTTCGAGGACTTAATGTCACGATGAATTATGGGCGGAACTGCATAATTATGTAGGTACTCAATGCCCCGAGCAGCGTCTAGTGAAATCTTGATCCTCATTTTCCAAGAATTCATGACATTGCTAATCTTGTTGTTGTTGTGTAAATGATCATAAAGAGCCCCATTCTTCATAAACTCATAAACTAAAAGCCTTTCATCCCTCTCTTCACAATAGCCAAACAGCCTCACCAAGTGCTTGTGATGAAGCCGGGATAAGAATGCCAGTTCTGATTCGAAGGCACTCTCTTTTTCTTGAAATTTCTTTGTCTTCGGACTCATCTCACTTCGTTTGATGGCAACTTCACGACTGTCGGGCAGTTTTCCTTTGTATACAACCCCGAAACTCCCAGCACCAATCTTGTTCTCTATAGAGAAGTTATTAGTGGCTGCAGCAAGGTCTGAAAACAGAAACTCCTCTGCCCTGTCTGGATGTTTTGATGAAGTTCCACTTCTCTGGCGCCTCATGAGAATAGAACCTTGGCGCCGAAGAGTTGATGATCTCGAAGGCGGACTGCTATTAGGCTGCGGAGCACCACTAATAGTTGGCTGCACCGAGTTATGAATTTTCTTCTTCCCGAAACAAACACCAGTCCACAAACAATAAATTAAAGTACAAATCCCTGCAAAACCCCCAACTGATCCAACAATCATGAACGCTAATAAACCCCTTCTGAGACTTTTCGAAGGGGAAGGACTAACAACGGGTGGCGGCGGTGGTGGCGATGGTGGTGGCGATGGTGATGGCGATGATGGTGGTGAAATTGAAACTGTAACATCACAAGGCCTACATATATGACCATTTCCAGAACAAAGTATTTGAGTTTGAGGATATAAATTACATTTACAAGGCGTCTCCAGACATGGCCCTGGGAGAGACTTTTGCAAAGGAAGATCCTGTCCGGAAGGGTAAAACTGATCAGGCCAGCCAGAACCCCAGCAAATCACTGATAAATTGCTTGTTGTCAATCCACAAGTAAAATTCAATCCTGCAACAATAGACTCAAATGAAATCCCATCTGTAACATTACTAGAAAATTCACCCCAACAAACAACTGTTCGGTTCAATCTTCTGATTGCACAACTGTGATTCGACCCAAGGGCAAGTCCAATGTACTCATATGGCGAATTAGATGGCACATCCAACTGACCATTGTCGTTATTTCCTTTGCAAATCACAAATCCTGAATTATCCATTCCACAGGCATGTCCTCCACCAACCTGGATATTCAACATTGAAAATTTTGAAAACTCCGATTGTATAGAGACAGACATATTTTCATCGCCCCAGCACAAAACCCGATTAGTACCCTCCAAAACTCCGCAAGAAAATCCCAACCCTGATGAAATTGAGCGAAATCCCAAAGTCCCATTTGGGGCTTGAACGGAGAAAATGCCATTTCCTCGCCAGCAAATAACGTTATGCCTCGAACTGACGTTTGTTAAACCACAAATTTGAGTGTCACCAATTGTTAGAGAAGTTAATGGAGCTGAATAATTGTTGTAGAGTCTTTTGGAGTTGAAGGTTGTGTTCCAGCAGAGAAGACTGAATCCACCGGAACGGGTAGCACAGAGGGTGTCACGGCCGCCGGCGATGTAATCGAAGGAGGTTGTGGGGATTATGGGTGGCAGAAGCTGACCATTTTGCCAGCATTGAATTTGTCGAAGGGGTTGCTGGGCAATTATGGTGCAGATAGTAGTGGCAGACCCGTAGATGACGGCTACCGTTGTGGCGGAGCCACCGAGTGCACTGGCTGAGGGTGAGAGATAAGTCAGGGCGGTGAGAGAAATTATGATGGCGGCGGTAAACGGTGTCGTCATCTAAAGGGCGTTTGTTGGGAATAGCAAGTGCCCTTCATTTGTAGAGACAGAAAGGGACGTAGTCTAGAAAGAGAACGTGAAGAAACTGAGGAATATTGCCCCGTTTGGCCCCATTCCCTGAAATGAAATGGATGGAATGATATTTTTTCACGAAAAAGAAATTTTTTTTAATTTATATAAAATATTATTGTATAGAAGATTGTGTGATTGAAAATAAAAAAGAAATATAATTTAATAGGAGCATAAACCATCCAAAGAAGTGCTTATCGGAAAGAAAAAAAAAATGTGAATTTCTAAACTAAGCTCCAATTTTAAAAACTTTTTTGGAAATCTGAATTCTAAAATGATTATATTTTATTGGTAAATATCAAATATATCTAATTTTCTCACCCTATATAATAGAAAGTTTATATTTTTAAATGGTCAATATGGTAATATATTAAATTTTTTATTTGTTATTATTTTACATTTGTTAATGCCCAATAATATTTTTAGAAATGAAATTAACGTTATATTTCATACTTTTATGATATTTCATAAATTAATATGTCATATTTTAACATCTTAAAAAATAAAGTTTAATTGATATAATTTATACTAAAAAATTCTTTTCAAAAATAATTAGTTTTATAAATTTTATACAATAAAAAAATAATATTTAGTCATATAATAATGTCCAACTAAATATAAAGTACTTTTCTAGTTATCAATGCTATCAATTTAATGTTAACAACATTATTTTTGTTGACAACCAAAAATCATTCTGCTGGTTGGTAACAACTCTTTTTGAAATTTATTGTTGTTAGGAAGATGTGCTTGCTATATAGGGTTGGCAAAATGGTTCGATCCCATCTTAAATGCGGCCAGTATTTTCGAATAATGTTACTCATCTCGATTCTTACATTTTATTTATCGTATATTTTTATGTATGAATATTATTTAAAAATAAATAAAAAATACATTGGAAAATAGGGCAAGAAAATAAAATATATAAATCTTGATTCCCCGACCTGTCCCACTCTCACCTCCCATAAATATCGACCTTCTCCTTCTTGCTCTGTGTTGACCCCAAAAAGTGTTGCCAACAGATGTCGGTCCTTGTGCGCGGATGTCCAACACGCTAAGACACGAGGACGGTCTAAAACGGACGGTTCAAAGGGCGTGGGAGTAGCCCAACAACGCGGGACGGTGACGTTCGGAATCCAGCAGGTTGTTCGTGATCCGATTGTACAATAATTATCAACCGGTGTTAGTGAATGTATATGTAAACGTGTATAAACTCGATTTGTGTATTGCAAGTAAATGAGAGAGTTGAGTAAAGTGTAGTTCTTTGTATTGATTCTTGCATTAGCCTTTTGATGTTATACAAGGGAAGTATTTATAGTGGTATATGTGAAATGGGAGCCCTTAAATGAGGTGGCACATGGCCTCATCTCTTTGATTTAAACATCTTATCAGGCATGAGGTTTGACTTGCTAGCTTGCAGCACATTTATTGCTTGTGCATAGCCCCTATACTAGTGACAAGACTTGACCTTTATACTTATGACAAACGTTCCATTAATCATTCGAATAAGATCTTTATGCAGACGATCTCTTGGGAGAAGTGAACGTGGAGGACACTCCCTTGTGGTTCGGAGGCTCCTGCATCAACTTCGGGGCTTCGGCCATTTTACACAATACTTCCGCTTGAGGGCTTCAGCTATCTTCAACTAACTCCAGCATCATGGCTTCGGTTCATGGGCCTCGGCATATGGACCTTGGTTACGTCCGCAAGCCACGGTAAAAAGGCGCCTCAGCTAGTGGACTTCGGCTTGAAGGACTTCGGCCATTGCCCACCTCGACAATATATGCCACCTCGGCTGGAATGCCACGTGGTTCGGCTTGAGTGGGCCATTGGCCCAGGTGGATTGACCAAGTATGACAACACGCAACACTCTATTACCATCCTCGATCAATATTCTGAGAATTAAAAGTGAACCCACCAATTTAATTGAAGAATTTGAGATCAAAAAATTGAGTATGATAATGTTTAAAACCTCATACACCCATTGTAAAAATGTTATTTGGCCCTTTGAACATAGTCAATTTAGCAATAGTCTCATTAAACAATGTCAACGCAAATATATTTATTATTGGTAATTCATTTGTGGAATGTGATTGAAGTGGGGGTCTGGTTGTTAATTTCGCTTAAGGCCCCGTTTGGTAATCATTTTTTTCAAAATGAATTTTTCTCTCTTTTCTTTTCAATCACACATTCTTTATTAAAATAATAATACACGTAAATCAAAAATTTTTCCTTATTTCTTAACCACATATTTCACATCAATTTACTATTTTAAAATGCATTTTTACATAAAAATACCTATCAAACACCCCCTAAATATATTTATTAATTGACAGTTGATTTGAATATTTGAGTACAAATTCAAATCAATAATATGACTCGTACTAGGAGAGAAGATGAAGGACCAGAACACCAGAATATTCAAAAAGGCACAAATTTGTGGATGCTAAAATAGAAGGAAAATTTGTAGTCCTGGTCCCAAACCTTTCATTTTGCTGCAAATTACATCCTAGCCTTTCATTTTTCAGCTGTAGTCTCAAAGCTTTATATCTAATTGTAACATTAGTCCAAATCATCGATTCCATCCATAATACAGTTAGTCAACATTGAAATAGTAATTTTGACCTGAATGGACAACTTAAGTGAGGGGCTAATTTGTCAAAACAAGTTATCCAATTGAACAAAAAGCCAAAAAAAATAAAAATGATTGTCTTCTCCAAAAAACCCCACCCCCACACCCACACCAACACCAACACCAAAATTCAGAAACCTAGCGCCAATCACCACGCATCTACTTGACTTCGCACCACCCACGATCACCATTGAAAACACCACCAACGAAAACTGAAATCTCAAACAACAACACACAATCACTCAAGCTGTCTTCTCCAAAATTGTTGATTTACATTTTCTACAATAAAAAATATAAGCTAATTAAATTATATAAAAAAGACTCTTAAATGTATATGACCTCACACCTGTAAATCAGTATTCTATTAGGTTCTTTTTTTTTCGTCTTCCATTCGGGCATTGGTTATGATGGTAGAGGCGGAGACAAATGATTTATGATTCATGGTCGTGATGGAGGACGAAGATTCTTATCATGATTTGTGGTGGTGGAATTGTGTGAAGGAGGGGGGTTTGCAAGCTAGGGCGAAGACAGAATATTAGTTTAGTACGAGCAAAAAAATTTCGACGCTGAACGTCGAGATTTTGGTCATAGATTTGATGACAATAAAAAAAATTAAAACAATATTACGACAATACTAAAAACGACATTATTTATATATTACACTTGTTTCTTGCGAGTTTTTATGCTTTGATATCGTCGTACAATAATTTCATTATCGAGCTTCAAAAATCTATCTTTCTCCACATAAGCAATTGTGTTATCATTTTTCTCCCCCAACAGCGTCGAATTCTATCTTTAGATACTTAGTTTTAGTAAAAGAAAAACATGTAGAAAATGAAATCAAGAATCTATAAAGATCAATTTGAAGTGTTCAACCTTTCATACAATCTCCCAACAATTTTTTGGGCATGGACTTCATTGGGCTCCACCCCTGTTTGGGAGCATTGCCTCTTGCCATCATCTATAAAATTGTGCAAGAAAAACATGTATATAAATTGGTATAAATTAATGAAATCCAATATTTCATAGTGTCAAATATATCTCTAATAGACTAGCCTTGAGTGTACTCAACAAATTGAGACAATTTGGGACTCTGATTTTTCACTATAATGATGGAAGTCGAAAGTAAAATATGACTTAATATTTTATTGAGAGGTTTTGTATTCAAAGGTTTCATCAACAACAATACAATCATATATATTTTATTATACATCTACCATGCAAATAAATATATATAAAATATTAAATAATAGTGTGGATGATTATGGACTTCTACTATCTAGTCTTCCCGAACCATAAAGAAGATTAGGTAGTCAATTTTTAGGGGGTATTGCATTGATCAGTATCAGTGCACCATCTTCATGGCTTCCTCCTCTTCTTGTTTTTTCAATTAGTACAGTTGCAACATGTATCCTATACTAGTTGGCATGCAGGCCTAGATGATAATGAACTCGCATGCCCATAACAACAATAACAATAATAGACTCACAGGTCCAAAATGATCAAGAGCTCGCAGGTCTATAATAAGAACAATAATAATGGGCTCGCAAGCCCAAAACAATTAAGAGCTCGCAGGCTTATAAAACGACAAGAATAAAATTAACCAATCAGCACATTTACATGGTCGAGTCCAAAATCGTCCATAATAATACATTCATCACATAAATATAAGCCTATATAATATCTAATATTATATGCAAACACGTTTCAAATTTCTAACAATTAAGATCGTCTAAACTCTTTTAGACATATGGATCGGAATAATTAAATAATTAATTAATCATATTAATCAATTAATTTAATTAGCGGGCATATTTAATTAAAATCAAATTTTAATTAAATATCAAATTAGAGTCCAACTCTAATTTCAAACTCGAGACGGTGGAATTTAATCAAAATCAATTTTTAATTAAATAGTAAGATTATGGTCCAACTCTAATTCCAAAATTTTAGGGCGAATTAATGTAATTAAAATCAAATTTTAATTAAATAGCAAATTAGAGTCAAACTGTATTACCAAGATGATATTTAGGGCGAGACAATTTAATTAAAATCAAATTTTAATTAAATATCAAATTAGGGTCCAATTCTAATTTCAAGGTGAAAAATTAATTAAAATCAAATTTTAATTAAATACTAAATTAAAGTCCAACTTTAATTTAAATTGAATGAATATTTTAATTTAGGATAACACTCCTAAATAAAATAAATTCAATTTAGGGTCAAATTTAATATTTAAGTTAAAATCATATTTTAACCAAAATATAATAATTGTCAATTTTAAATGTGTCAAACTTAAAGATTTGGGTCCAAAAATCCTCTTTTGAAAACCAAATTCAAGGTTCTTTTGAAATTGCATTTTGACCCCCATTTAAAATTATAACAGGACCTTACAATTTTCGAAATCGTAAACAAGTCCCTCATTA